GCGCTCCCCTACCCTGGGGGTCTTCAAGAGGATGTTAGATAGGCATCGAGCTGGGGTCATCTAAACCCAGCGCTCTTTCCTGCCCATGCAGGGGGTCGGACTCGATGATCTATTGAGGTCCCTTCTGACCCTAGCATCTATATATCTATGAGAAGGAGGTGATGCTCCCCCTCTATGCGGCACTGGTCAGGCTGCAGTTGGAGTACTGTGTCCAATTTTGGGCGCCGCACTTCAAGAGGGACGCGGAGAATCTGGAGAGGGTCCAGAGGCGGGCCACTTGCATGATTAGTGGCCTTCGTGATAGACCCTATTTAGGGAAGTTGAGAGAGCTGATTCTCTTCAGCCTTCACAAGAGATGGCTGAGAGGAGATCTTGTGGGCCACCTATAAATTTATTAAAGGAAGTCAATGGGGAATAGGGGAAGCGCTGTTTACTAAGGTGCCCCAGGGAGTGACAAGGAATAATGGGTATAAACTAGTTGAGAGTGGATTTAGGTTAGATATTAGGAAGAAATTTTTCACAGGAAAGGTGGCCAGGATCTGGAATGGGCTTCCAAGAGAGGTGGTGCTATCACCTAGCTTGGAGGTCTTCAAGAGGAGGCTAGATAGTCACCTGGCTGGGGTCATCTGACCTCGGTCCTCTTTCCTGCCAGGGGCAGGGGGTCGGACATGATGATCCATTGTGGTCCCTTCCGACTTTATAACCTATGAATCTATGAATCTAACCCATGTGTTGCAGGGAGAGACAAAAGGGAGGACCCAAAAGGGCAAGGGGGAAACCCCGGGAACAGGAGTCTGGGGAAGAACAGGGAGGAAAAAGCAAAAGTAAAAGGGAACACTCACCTGCAGCGAGACCCGCGGCAAAGCTTGAACACTGGGAGGAGCCCAGACGAATCATCAGCCACGCCTTCATACAGCTGCGGCCGGCCAGTGACGTCAGCGGCGATCACCGGTCAGCAGAAATAAAGCGGGCCACCAACAAAGAGGCAGGGGGACGGATGCCGGCAGAAACCCCAGCGGGAGGGGTCTCCATCAAGTTCTGAACAGAACAAATGGGGCCGGAAGTGGTGTTCCCCAGCAGGGAGGGATCTGGCTCCTCGCACTGTGAGCCAGAAGCTGCTGGCTGCGGCAAAGACGACGCTGCACTTGGAGCGGGAGCTCCCATGCGAAGACCAGAAGAATAGGACGGAAGAGCCTGGAGGGACCCTGATTCCAGTGGCCACCGTGGAGGAGGGGGAGGTGCTGACCCACTATCAGGTGGGGTGGTGGAGGGCCTCAGGGGACCCAAAGATATAGGAGTCAGAGTGGCAAGGGAGAGGAAGTCCGTGGAAGGCCACAGGATCCCACGACCATGTGGGGAGCCTAGGATAACCCCATAAAAGTCATGGGGAGTGGGCTGTGTGTGATTGGGCCTTAGGGGCCGGACGTGGGTACAGAGGGGTC